CTGATGATGCTGATGCTGATGCTGATACTAATTATGCTGATGCTGCTGATGATGATGACGATGCTGATAGTGATGATGATGCTGCCGCTGCTGCTGATGATGCTGCTGCTGCTGCTGCTGATGATGATGATGATGATGATGATGATGATGATGATGATGATGATGATGATGATGATGATGATGATGATGCGGCTGATAACGATGATCATGAGCATGCTGGTAATTCGGATGCTGATGCTGCTGATGATGATGATGATGCTGATGCTGATGCTGCTAATGATCAGGATGCTGATGCTGATGCTGATGCTGACGATGATGCTGCTGCCGATGATGCTGATGATGATGCTAATGCTGATGCTGATGCCACTGCTGATGCTGATAATGATGCTGCTGATGATGATGCTGCTGCCGCTGCTGCTGATGATGATGGTGATGGTGATGATGATGATGCTTACGATGCTGATGGTGATGGTGGTGGTGGTGGTGGTGATGACGATGCTGCTGCTCCCGCTACTGCTGCAGATTATGCTGATGATTGTGGTGGTGGTGACGATGCTGCTGATGATGATGATGATGACGCTGATGATGATGATGATGATGATGATGATGATGATGATGATGATGATGATGATGATGATGGTGGTTGTGATGATGATAATGGTGGTGACGATGATGATGATAGTGGTGGTCATGGTGGTGGTTGTGGTGGTGATGATAGTGACGATGATGACGATGATGGTGGGAAGGTGATGATGATGATGATGATGATGATGATGATGATGATGATGATGATGGTGATGCTGCTGCTGCTGATGATGCTGATGCTGCTGATGATGATTCTGATGCTGATGATGATGACGATGATGTGGGATGAGGGTGAGGACGATGACGACGAAGAGGAGGAGGAGGAGCAGGAGGAGGAGGAACAGGTTGAGGAGGATGAGGACTAGTGTAAGCAGTTTGAACGATGTAGGGCGTTTCCTTCTTCAGAATGTAGCACTCGGCCTCAGCGCCGCGCGCGTTCGTTCTCAAAATTTGCAGCAGCTTCAATGCTCAGTGTGGTCGAAGTGCGATCCGGAATGATTCTGGGTTGCCAGGACGCAACATTCACGTCCATGCGCTGTTTTGGAGCCCCAGGAATGGATGTCTGGCACGATTTCGAATTGCCAGGGTGTTGAAGTCCCAGGTCTTGTGTTTTGCCACAGTTGACGATTTTCAAGCGGTTGCATTTCGATGGTGCACTTCCGCAATGAATTCAACGTCTTGTAGGGACCTGTGACTGGGGGGACTTGGAGTGAATGTGTATTGCACCACCGTTGCTGCGTCTTAGGTTTATCTGGTCCTCCTGGTACTCCTCCTCCTCCTCCTCCTCCTCCTTCTCTATCCTTTCTTTATGCATAACTCCTCCCTGTCGTATCCCCAGACATGTCGATATGGCGGGCCAGGCGTTTCGCCTAAGACTTCCTCACCATGTGTGATCCTAAAGCTTGATCTTTACAACAGCGTCAAGGATGGAGGGCTGGTGGTGTTTCAACATGTGGCTCTCGCTTTGACGCCGCCCACATCCGTCTTAAAGTTAACAACAGCTTCAATGATGGATGGTGGCCCATACTCAAAATGTGACTCTCGCCTCGGCACGGCACGCATACGTATTAAAGCTTGCAACATGTCCGATCAGGGTTTTTTTTGGGGCTCCCACACATCAGCGCCGCGCATATTCGCCTGACAAGTCTGCAACAGGTTCAAGGGTCAGTATGGTTGAGGTAGCAGGGTCGGCGTTCTGGTGTGATTTAGTACGGCCAGGGCGCAACGCTCATGTTGATTTGCGGTGTTGAAGTCCCATGAGTGGTGTCCTGGTACGGTTTAGGAGCGTCAGGGCGCAACAGTCACGCTAATTCGCCGTATTGAAGTCCCAGGAGAGGTGCCCTGGCGCGGTTTAGGATTGTCCGGACGCAGGTTGTACGTTGATTCGCAGCGTTGAACTCCCAGGAGCGGTGTTTTGCCATGGTTGGCGATTTTCAAGCGGTTGCTTTTCGATGGGGCACTTCGCGTAATGAGCACAATTTCTTGTAGGGGCGTTGAGGGGCGACTTTGGAGGGAGGGTTTACTGCAACATCGTTGATGCGTCTTGGGTTGGCACTGGTCCTCCTGCTCCTAATCATCAACGTCATCACCATCACAGCCACACTCATCAACAACGTCCGCATCCCCCAAACCCTCGCCTTTCCCGTTTTTATCCGCCTCCTCCTCCTACTAAGCTATTCCTCCTCATCCGCTTCCTCCCTCTCATCTTCCCCCCGATCCTCCTGATCCTCCTTTTCCTCCTCGCCCTATTTCTCATCATCCCAGCTCTTCCAATGTCGTTGTTGCTCCCTCCTCTCTTTCCTTCGCACGCCCCGCCATTTCCCCGCGCGCCTCTCCGCCGTCTTCCCACCATCCCCTCTCCTCTCCTCCTCTCCATCCGCGGATGCCAGCGCTTTCGCGATCCGATCGGACGTGAGGCGTGACTGGGGCCCGAGTGTGGAATACCCGTCGCTCTGACCCTCCGCGTGCGGAGTAGCCTCCACATCTGCCCTTCGCAGCTCCCCCTCCTCATCTTACACTCTACTTCTCCCCCTCCCCTTCCTCCACCTCCTCCTCCTCCTCCTCGTCCTCCTCGTCGTCCTCCTCCTCCTCCTCCTCCTCCTCCTCCTCCTCCTCCTCCTCCACCTCTCTTCTCCGTATAACTAACTCCTCCCTGTCGCACCCCCAGACGTGTCGGTAGGGCGGGCCAGGCGTTTCGCATCGGACTTTTCCAGTTATGATCCTGAGGTTTGAAAGTTGCAACCGCTTGTTGGATGGAGGGCGGGCAATTTTCAAAACGTGGTTCTCGCCTGAGCGCCTCGCACATTTTTTAGATACATCAGCTTCACACATGGAGGGCGGAGGGCGGGCCGTTTTCAAATGCGGTTCTCGCTTTAGTGCCGTGCACATTCGTCTTGACAGTTCGCAGCAGTTTCCAGGATTCGCATGGTCGAAGTCCCAGGAATGGTGTGCTGGCAAGATTTAGGATTGCCAGGATGCCACAGTCACGTTGACTCGCAGTACCCAGGAATGGTGTTCTGGTCCGGTTTAGGAACGTCATGGCGCAACCGTCACGTTGATTCGCGGCGTAGAATCATAGGAATTGTGTGCTTGGCACGAGTAGGGATTCTCAGACGATTGTCTTGCAATGGGGCACTTCCCGTGATGGAAGTACATTCTTGTAGGGATCTATGAACATTTGGGGAAGGGTCTACTGCAACATAGTTGGTGCGTCTTGGGTTTGCACTGTCCTCCTCCTCCTCCTGCTCCTCCTCCTCCTCTTTCTCCTCTTCCTCCTCCTCCTCTTGCTCCTCCTCCTCCTCCTCCCCATCCTCCCCCTCCTCCTCCTCCTCCTCCTCCTCCTCCTCCTCCTCCTCCTCCTCCTCCTCCTCCCCCTCCTTGGAGCCCCGAGCTGCGGGCATTGTCGAGCGATCCTCCTCCTTCTCCTCCTCCTCCTCCTCCTCCTGCTCCTCCTCTTCCTTCTCTTTTTTCTTCCTCCTCCCTCCTCCTCCCTCCTCCTCCTCCTCCTCCTCCTCCTCCTCCTCCTCCTCCTCCTCCTTCTCCTCCTGGAGCAGCAGCGGCGAGGGCAGACGGGGCCGAAGGGGCAAGACGTCGCCCACCTCCCCCCTCGGCCCGCCGCGAGAGCGTGGCGCTGGGCGCCTGGAGGCTGGTCGCCAAGGACGCGCGCCCGAGGCCGGCGACGACGACAACGATGGGGGCGACGACGACCCCCCTCGAACTTCGAACTTCGAGGATCGATGCTTTTTCGAGCTCCGGGAGGGCCTTCTCGTCGCCACGGCTGGATTCGCCTCCAAGTTCTGGATTCGCCTCCAAGTTCTGGAGAGGTCTGGGGGTCCACGTTTGACCCTCAGGCCAAGACCTCCGCTCGTTTTGAAAAAAACGACGAGGCTTTATACTATTTTCGGCCTCTGGGGGTTCTCGCCGGGCCCAGGGATCGTCAAGCAACGACTCGGGCTGAAAAGCACGTCCTGGAGAAAAGGTCTAGACCTCTAGGGGTCCGCGTTCTGAAGAACCCACGACGTCGGAGTTCTGTGGACGATGGCGGCGGCGACGACGACGACGACGACGCCGACGACGTTTCTGAGGTTTTGGCACGTTTCTGGAAGCTCCCGTCGCCAGGGCTGGGCGCAGATGGATAGACTGCTCAGCATGGACCCCAGGAGGGGTCTGGGGTCCCGGGATCGATGTGGACCAGATCTTGGGCGGACGGCGGCGGTGACGATGGTGGCGGTGACGACGACGGCGACGGCTCTCCCACGCTTTCCCTCCTCCTCCCCCCGCCCTCCTCCCGTGGAGGAGGGGGAGGGAACGAAGAGGGGTGGTGTGGAGGGATGGGTGAGGGCGGGGGAAGGCAGGAGGGGGGAGGGAGGAGCGAGGAGGGAGGCAGCTACGCCCTCTCCACCTGCCCTTCTGCCCGCCTCGCCTCTCCTGCCTGCTGCCTCCCCCCCTCCCGTGCAGCTCAGAGCTGGAAGAGGGCAGTGCTGGAGCTTCTGTCCGCAGCGCCCCAGGACGGAGAAGGGGGCCTCTCAACGGTCTGGGCCCCGCCTTCTCGGGTGTAGCAGGCGCATGGGCAGGCGCTGTGTTGTTCGCAGCCGCCCCTCTCCACCCAATCGCGCCCGCGATCTTGTCCGCATGCTCCTGCTTTGAGCTACACGGGTGGCATGGAGAGACAGCGTCCAACATTGATCTCCGAATAACAAGCTATCCCCGTGAGGCGACCCCCTGTGCACGCTACCCCCCTGCCAGGGCTCCTTCGGTGCACGCTGTCTCCAGGGTGGGAGCTTAGCGTGCAACGAGCGGGCCTGCGGCGCCGCACTGCGCTGCTTTTATACAGCGCCAGCGGTGCGCAGCCTCTCCGGCCCGTGCGGCAGTCTGGCGCCTGGCCCCCGGCCGCGCCCATGGCCGGCCGCGACGCCATGGCCCGCGCCGCCGCGGCCTACCGCGCCGGGGACTTCGAGGCCGCTGCCGAGGCCTACTCGGAGGCGCTTGCCGGCGCGGAGGGCGCGGAGGCTCGCGCGAGCGCGCTGACCAGCCGCGCGCAGTGCTACCTGAAGCTCGGGCGGTGTGCGGAGGGCCGCGAGGACGCGGCGGCCGCCCGGGCGCTGGCGCCCGAGGACCCGAAGGCCTGGTACAGGCTCGGCGTCTGCGAGGCGCAGCTGGCCCGCCTGCCCGAGGCCGAGGATGCAGGGCGGGCGGAGGAAGGCCCGGGCTCAGAGGGGGCAAGGCCGCCTGCCGGGTGCCACGACGCTTTCCTCGTGCTGGCATTCTCGGGCCTTGTTGGGAGGCCCTCCTCGCCATAGCCGGACTCTCCTCGAACGTCCGTTCAGAAAACATAGTGGGAGAGGTCCGGGGAGCAGCAGTATCAAGGTTGGTTGCCTGTACGCCCTCCCGTTCCCCCTGGGAATGCCATCTGTGACTTGTATATTTTGATTTCGTTGTTTCATGTGGTACGTACGCGATGTAATTTATATACAGGACGTCAACATCGTTTTTACGCACTGGGTTTCGTAATCATCTGCTCTGCTTGTTGCGAGATGCGTGCAACAGTTTTGTGGTGGTGGTGTATGTAGCTAGCATAGCACTAGTCAGAACGAGGCACCGCACGACCAAACTGACGTAGAATGGAGACGATGTAGACAGCTTATGTGATATGCTTGTGGACGCTATGCAGAACATTTATGTGTATGGGCCGTGCGCGTGCGTAGATGTGGTAAATGCAGCAAGCTGGATCTGAGCCGATGGAGACCAACATGTTGTTCAGCAAGTCTCTGGGGAAATCTTTTTCCCAACCATCCTGTGGTGTTGGGTCCTCGTTTTGAAGACAGCGCCCCGCGTCTCAGTCCTTCCTCCCGCTGCCCCCTCCCTCCCCGGTCACTCGCCCCTGCCTTTTTCCTCCGCCCCAGTCAACCATTTCGGCACACTCCTCACACGCTTCGTGGCCCCATAAGGAGCTCCACCGAGAACCCAAGCAGATGCGCTCGAATAGCATCGCCGCGCTCACGTAGGCACACCCCTCACACGTTTCGTGGCCCCATAAGGGGCTCCACCGAGGGCCCCAGTGGCTGCGCTCGCATGGCACCGCCGCGCCCATTTCGGCACACCCCTCACACCCCTCACACGTTTCATGGCCCCATAGGGAGCTTCACCGAGGGTCCCAGTGGCTGCGCTCGCATGGCACCGCCGCGCCCATTTCGGCACACCTCTTACACGTTTCGTGGCCCCATAGGGAGCTGCATCGAGGGCCCCAGTGACTGCGCTCGCATGGCACCGCCGCGCCCATTTCGGCACACCCCTCACACGTTTCGTGGCACCATATGTAGTTCCCTCCAGGCCCCAGTGGCTGCGCTCGCATGGCACCACCGCGCTAATTTCGGCACCTCTCACACGTTTCGTGGCCCCATGGTGAGCTCCACCGAGCACCCCAGTGGCTGCGCTCGCATGGCACCGCCGCGCCCACTTCGGCACACCCCTCGCACGTTTCGTAGCCCCATAGGGCGCTCCACTGAGGGACCAAGAGGCTGCGCTCGCATGGCACCGCCGCGCCCATTTCGGCACACCCCTCACACGTTGCGTGGCCCCATGGGGAGCTGCACCGAGGGCCCCAGAGGCTGCGCTCGCATGGCGCTGCCGCACCCAGTCCGGCACACCCCTCACATGCGTTCGCATGCGCCCACCGCGCCCGTTTCGGCACACCTCTCACACGTTGCGTGGCGCCATAGGGAGCTCCACCGAAGACGATACTCACAAGTGCGTTGGTCACACATGCAAATGGTTGTGTCTTTCGCCAGGCTTATTTTTTGATCTCAGCACCCAGACATGCTAGTACCATGTTAGATGGCCGTGTCCAAATCATCCACGCAGGCACTGAATCATCTCGTAGTATGAACGCCGTGGCTGCCGTTTTGTGGCCATACTCCTTGGGGCCTCATTTGCCGTGCGATTTCTGTATCACGTGTTCTGGTCGGGTGTACGCCTCCAAAAAGGTCCCATAGTGTTCGCATTTCTCTCTGCGTCCCATCTTGATTTCGAAAGGATCTCTTGAGAACTCTCTGGGCCCACGAATCCTCCCAGCATCTCCAGGGAACTCTCCGCACGTGAGAAGTCTGAAGGGGACATCCTCGGGAGATGTTCGGAAGCCGCTGCCGGGACCCGAGACTGCCCAAAAACGTTCCAGAGGATCCGCCATCTATTTGGACGAGAGCTCAATGTTTCATGGCGCCAACATCGCAGAGCGGATTTCGTTCGGAAACGATAGGATGGGCCTGGAGTGTCCTGGAGAATTTCGCTCCGGATTTCGAGATGAATTTCGTGCGGATTTTCTTTGACCAGGAATGAAGACTTAAACAACTCCACGCGAAATGCACCTCGTTTTTCACTCGCCCTTTCGGGGTTTGGCATTGACAGAAATCCACGCGAACATCCGCTGCAGCACGTCTGCAGGGTCGGTGCAGTGAAGTGTTGGAACACTCGGGGCTTCGGAGACCTGGGATCAGATCGCCGCGAGGTCCTTGGCGCTCTGTGGCTCGGGCGTCGCGCTCCCGGGGGGGTGCTGAGCGGGGGGCGAAGCACGGTGCACCCCTCGTGCACCTATCGGAGCCACGAATGGGGCCCTCGGGGGCCCAGCAGGGGCAGGAGGGTGCACTTCTCTTCGCCCGCCCATCCGTCGCCCCTCCACTAATCGGCGGCGAGCGAGGGGGGGAGGTGAGGGGAAGGCCTTCTCAGAAGGCGGCGGGGCTTCTCAGAAGCAGCCCGCCGGCCCTCTGAGAAGTTTTCTGCGTCTTCGGGGACAGCTTGGAAAACTTCTCAGAAGGCCAGGGGACTTCCGAGCCTTCTGAGAAGTCCCGCCCCTTCTCACTTCCCCCCTGGGCTCGTCGCCGAATTTCAGCACGGCCCAAGTTGCCGCTCCGCAGAGGAGGCCCTCGCCATGGCCGCGGCGCTTCGGCCCAGGGACGCCGACATCGCGCTGGCCATGTCGACCGTGCGGCGCCGGCTCACGGAGGCTCGGGGCCGCTATGCCTGGGCCGACATCTACGCCGCGTACCTGGGCAAGGCTCGGGGACCGCTGTTCATCCAGCTACCTTCGGAGGCCTGGAGGTTGACACCAACACCCAAGTCGGCGGTGTGCCTCCACCGAGGAAAGATAGCCCCGATCTCGGTGATGGTGGTAGTATTCGGGCTTCCCAGGCGGCGGAACGATGATCACCAGCACCAGCATCCAGGATCATCTTCCCCTGGTGGAGGCAACCCCTGTGTTGGTGTAGACGCTCATGTCCAGGCCTCCTAAGCCCTGAGATCTGGGCGTTGCAGTTTTTTTCGCACCTAGCGTTTTCGGCTAGTTCGGGCCCTGGGACCATCCAAGATCGATCCAGCTCGAACGAGGACGCGGAAAGATGGGATCCAAGGCCCCAGTCGTAATTTTTGACGATGATTCAATTTTTTCCAGGAGTCGGATCTCATTTCGGGGAGGCGTAAGACTCGAGTTCGCCAGAACTCGGGTTCACCGACGCTTTTTGACGGGACCGTTCTGAAATTTGACGTTCCTGTTTTTGTGGGATGCTTGCAGGGGGAGCTCGCGTCAAATTCTTGACGATTCGTGTGGGACCTCTTATGATTGTTCTCATCCGCAGGCGTCTTGTGTCAAACCAGCCCGGAAACGGACTCCCAGAGGTAGTGGGTAGGGAGAGGGATCACGCTACCCAGAGACTCTAAACCGCTCCCCGAAGAGGAAGAAGGGGGCTTGGAAGAGGAGCCTCTCCAAACCACCTCCGCCCAAAGGATTGGCGGCATTCCAGTATGGTTCTCATCATTTTCTTGGCGGCCCCGTCAGGCCAACCCGAGTCCCCCGATCTCGAGTTCTATATCTCCCCGATCTCACCACCCACCAAACCACCCCAACCCAACCCGAAAGCCTCAATTTGCCCTCCATTTCCAGTGTGTGGCGGGTCCGGGAACATGGAGAACACACAGATGGAACCCGCACCCCCCCCAACCCGAAATTCTAGACGCTTCGCGTATCCCCACCAGCCCGTCCAGAAATGAGTCCCAGGGGAGTGGAGGTTATGAGGGAAGCGGGGGAGCATGCAGAAGAACAAAGGGCGGGGTGAGCCGCCATATGCCCCAAGAGGGGGAGGATGTAGGAGGAGCCGTCGTCGTCGGAGTAGGAGGAGGAAGAGGAGGAGCAGGAGGAGGAGCAGGAGGAGGAGGAGGAGGATAGAAGGAGGAGGAGATGGAGGACTGCGAGGACGAGGAGGACGAGAAGGAGGAAAAGGAGAAGGAGGAGGAGGAGGAGGAGGAGGAGGAGGGGGAGGGGGAGGAGGGAGGAGGAAGAAAAAGAGGAGGAGGAGGAGGAGGAGGAGGACAATTGCGAACTTGGGGGCCTCTTGGGCCGTCCTTGGGGCCTCTTGGCGGTCCCGGGGGCCTCTTGCGTATCTCGGGGAGCCTCTTGTGGCCTCTTGGGGGTCTCTTGGGGGCCTCTTGGAGGCCTCTTGGGGGCCTCTTGGGGCCTCTTGGGGCCCTCTTGGGGCGCTCTTGGGGCGCTCTTGGGAGCCTTCGAGGCGCTCTTGGGGCCATCTTGGAGGAGATCTATCAAAGAAGGGGGGGTCCCCAATTAGCGCTGCCCCTCTAGAGTGCCTCGAGTCGCCTCTTGGGCCCCCCCAAGAGGCCAAAATCCTTCCAAAACCTATGTAAAATCAATGTTTTTTGTTTTCTCGCCTTTTCGCTCTTGGACCCGTCTTGGGAGCCTCTTGGGCCTCTTGGGGGTCTCTTGGGAGCCTTTTGGAGGCCTCTTGGGCGCCTCTTGGGGCCTCTTGGGGCGCTCTCGGGGCGCTCTTGGGGCGCTCTTGGGAGCCTTCGGGGCGCTCTTGGGGCCATCTTGCAGGAGATCGATCAGAGAAGAGGGGGTCCCCAATTAGCGTTGCCCCTCTAGAGTGCCTCGAGTCGCCTCTTGGGCCCCCCAAGAGGCCAAAATCCTTCCAAAACCTAAATAAAATCAATGTTTTCTGTTTTCTCGCCTTTTCGCTCTTGGAGCCGTCTTGGGCCATCTTGGACTCTCTTGGGGCCTCTTGGGGGTCTCTTGGCAGCCTCTTGGAGGCTTCTTGGGGGCCTCTTGGGGTCTCTTGGGGCCCTCTTGAGGCGCTCTTGGGGCGCTCTTGGGAGCCTTCGGGGCGCTCTTTGGGCCATCTTGGAGGAGATCTATCAAAGAAGGGGGGGTTGCTTATTAGCCCCGCCCCTCCAGAGTGCCTCGAGTCGCCTCTTGGGCCCCCCCAAGATGCCAAAATCCTTCCAAAACCTAGGTAAAATCAATGTTTTGTGTTTTCTCGCCTGTTCGCTCTTGGAGCTGTCTTGGGCCATCTTGGACGCTCTGACACCTCGCGACCGGCCCCGTCCAGGTCAGTGGGGAGGGGTAAGGGGAGGGGTAAACCCCTCCCCGAAGGGGAAGAAGGGGGTTGGCAGAGGAAACTCCCTAGACCACCTACGCCCTAAAGGGCTGGTGGGATTCGGGTCTTCGGGTCGGGTTGGGGTAGTCTGCTAGGCAGTCCCGATCGGAGTATGCACATCCTGGCCTCGGCGTGTCTGCCTCCCCGGCCCGGCCAGGAGTTCGCAGATACCGATCCTGGGCCCAGGACGGGCCCCGCCGGGACCCGGGAGGTGGACCCCCTCTGCTCCGGGTCGCCTCCTGGCGGCCCCCCAGAGCCAGGGCACGGCTCACAGAGGCCGACAACGCAGAGCAGCAGTTGTCTGGCGACCACCGGATCTGCAGGCCCTCCTTTTTCGGGCAAGCCTCCTGGCCAGAGCTTCGCGAGGATGCCTCCTGGCCAGAGCTTCGCGAGGAACCCAGGCGTGTCGACGAGAGGCCTCCTGGAGGCCCCCCACACACGGGCGAACAGCGCGTCGACCCCAGACCTCAGACCTCGTGTTTTTTTCACAACGTTGACCCCGAGAGCTCTCGACCCATTCCCCAGGACGGGCTTTTTGTCCCGAGCCAATTTTTGGCCCCCAGAAGCCCCAAAAAGCAAAAAAGCTGTACATCGTGCTTTTTTCACGACGCGAAGGTGTCTGGGAACACTTGTCTTCGGAGCTGACGCCCCCCGAGAGGCGCCCAGCCCTGGCGACGCGTCTGGGGCCGGCAGCGCCGCGAGCCCAGCCGCTGCTGAGGGTGGCGGCGGTAGCGTGGATGCCTCGCTCGGCGTCGAGCCGTTCGTCGGCCCGGCGCGCTGGAGGGGCTCGACATACACACCGCGTCCCCAGATCTCAGACGAGATGATTTTTTCACAGCGTTAAATTTTGACTGGAACGGGGGGAAAAGCGGGCAGGGGGATCGTCATGCCTTTTGTTTGCTCCTGCTCCTTGTCCTCTCAGGTATCTTGTCCTTCCTACGCATGACGATTCGGTATGTTTGCTTGCCCATCCACATCCCCCACCATCCCTGGGGACAGTTTGTGCGATGCGCGAGTCCGCCTGAGGGCAGGCTGGGTTGGGACTCAGACGCGCATCGACCCCGACCCGTCCAGCTCGCTGCATTCCGTCGCCGTAGCGGGGCAATCTTGCGGGGAGCTATTCCAATGTGGGTGCTTTTTCTGGACTTCGGCGTCTGGGGCCCGTGATTGGGTCCCCAGGACCATAAACATGGATCCCTGAGGCAAAACTATTCCCTGGGAGGGGGTCGAGACCTGTGGGGCCGCGCATTGAGAACATCTCATCGCCGGATGTCTGGGTCGTTTTGTCGGCCCACTCACTTTTTTTACACCGGGCGATTTTGCCCACGTCGGACCCTGGGGGCCCTTCACATATCGACCCAGATCGAGAAGTGCCGCAGAAAGATTGGGACAGGGGTTTTAGTGGTAATCCCCCACGAAGTTGCAATTCGTCAGATCCGCCCTGCCCGAGAAAGGCCACAGAAAGACAGGGCCTAGGCCTCAGGCGATTCGCCACAAACTTGTGGTTTTCGCGGTGTCGGATCTCAGGGCGGACCAGCCCGAGCCTGAGAAAAACGACGGACGTTTTTTTTTTGTTTTTTGTTTTTTTTTGTTTTTTGTTTTTTTTTGTTTGTTTTTTTTTTCTTTTGTTTTTTATTGTTTTTTGTTTTTTTGTTGTTCTTTTTTTTTCTTTTGAGTTTTCGGCCCTGGGGGGCCCTTGCCAGGCCCCCAGGCCCTTGCCAGGCCCGAGGGCCGTTAACAAAACGGTTCGGGCTGAAAAACAAGTCCCGTGAAGTGGTCCACACTTCGGGGGCCCGCGTTGTGAAACAGTCACGACGTCGAAGGTTTTGGAAGGGATCAATGCACCCGGCGAGATATTTCGGTGTATAGACGCTCCAACATCGTACAGGTGGTGAGTCTGGGGCGTCTATACGCCGAGCTTCCTGGCCGACCAGACACTTGACTGTACGGTCGAAACGAGACTCAGAATCTATTAGGTTGTCTTTTTTTGTTTGCAAGTTCGGGTGTCACCTGGGGAAGCGTACCTCCGAATGTTCTTCAGTTTGACAGCTTTGTTCGTTCGTTTTGGGAAAGCTGGGGTTTCATGCCGTGCCTTTCCGTGTTCACCACGGCTTCGTCAGGCAGTTAAGGTCGGGTGAATCTTCGGAAAGGACCCTCAGTGACCGTGGGCAAAAAACATATTCGTGCCCACGGCCTCGCGGGCTGAGCCCCTTGGCCGCGACCCCGCTAATACGGGGCGTTTTTTTCGCGGACGCCCCGCGCGGCACGTCCCCGTGCGACCGCGTATCCGCGGGATCGCGTCTCGGAGTCCAGACCGCGAGGGCGTGGATATGGACGCGTTCGTCGTTCGTGAGGTGAACTGATGCTTTTTTGTTTTTTTTTTGCCGGCGGAGGGGCTCTTGTTTTTGTAGTGTGTTTTTCTGTTTCTGTTCCGAGTGTGTGCTGTATTTGTGTGGTCCTTCATTGGAGCCACAGGGGTCCACAATTCCTTGCGGTTTTCGGGGATTTCGTCGGATCTGGTCGACGTTGGGATGAAACCTGTGCGAAATCTGGACGAAACAGTGAAGAGGAGCGGTCGAAATCTGGACGGAACCCGGTCAAAGGCACGTCCATGAGAGGGCCGTGGAGGGCCACAGAGCCTCCCATAAAGGCTCGCCCAGGGTCGGGCGGACGACGACGTCGACGACGGCGATCCCCGACAGGGGCGCCGACGCGTGCACGCGAGAGCCCCGCCGCGCCGCTGGCGGCCCTCCGCGCCCCGCCTTCGCTCCCCGCCCCCGCCCTCTGCGCTCGCCGCACCGAGGGCCGGCCCCGGCGCCCCCGTGGAGCGGCAGCGCGCAGCTCAAGCCACAGAGTGGGGCCCTGGAGGTCCGCAGAGGCCCCCAGGAAGGCTCACCCAGCTGGATGCTTCTAACCTTATGTCGGGCCTCTAAACAAAAATAGTTCGGGGACGAATTTTCGATTATTTTCTTTCTATGCTATTCTTGGGTATGTTTTGACCAATTTTGATATTTCCCCATATCCTAAGGATTGGGGTTCTTGTTATTACTCTGA